TTTTACTTTCATCTTATGTACTGCCTGCAGATTACATAAATCTCACAAAATTCTTTCCCTTCACAGTTTTATATTCTGCAAATTGAGAAGTTTCAAACATTTCAGTCCCCTACGTCCTTCCATCTCCTTATTTTAACTACCCTTCTTTGCCCCTTTTAAACTATTAATTATATCCTTCAATTAGTTTTCTGTAAAAGTTGTAACGAATCCACCCGATATCAGTCATTTGTTATCACCTAGCATCTTCTTTAAAAATAAATTAAAAAATAGTATCTGTATGAGTTTCTTGGGCTTGCTTCCCTTAACAGAAGGTAAAACATTGAACCTTTTCTGCTCCTCCCCAGTGAAAATGACAAAGAATTCAGGTTCTAGCTACCCATTATTTGTGATCCAGCAAGAACAGAAACTGATCAGATCGGCCAGTAAGGCACACACTTGAACCAACGAAGAATGCAATAATGCAGCACTTTGAGATTCCCCAGTACCAACCAAACTTCACAAAATGACATACATCAGAAAAGGAGTGTCAAGAATCTCAAAACAAACACATCTCTCCTGTGAATCACTGTGTTATCCCTGTGCCTAAGGAACATCTTGTATCCAGCCTGGGCTTGCTCCATATGCAGGGACCAATTTCAGCTGAGCTTTCCAAACACATTTCAGTCTAACAGCAAAAGAACGTGTAGGAAAAGCAGATCACCTTGCAGGATCCTGGAACTGACAAATTGGCCAAACTCCTAACGCACTCTTCGAAAGAGGTGTTAAGATTCACTCCTGTGAGCACTTCCCTGCATTTCCAGGCATGCACCTGCTTTTGCTTTACAGTTTGCATCACTTCACATGATCAGGCCTACAATGAGCAAGTTTGAAGATACCAGTCTTAAACCTGAAGTTATCCAGTATGCAGCACCTTACTTGCTGAAATACCTAAAATTAATTTTAAAATACTTTGGTACACACCAACTATACAGTTTTTCACTTACTAAGTATATGAAACAAAAAATGTATCACACTGATATAAGGGTCTTCTCATGGACTACTAAACACTGTTCTTTTACCAAACGAGTACAATGCCAATTCCTCTTAATCTCCAGGAATAAATTTCCATAGTCAGAATACTGTTTACATAATCTTCAAAATGCATGAAGTTTTACAAGATTACATATTTTTGCTGTAAACTTATTAATTTTTATATGGCATCACACACTGCAATAAAAAGTCTCTACTACTTGACAAGGAACTCACGTGTACATTTAGCTGTACTAAAAAAATATTTAGTTATCCAGTTTGCATGTATTGCTTTCCCACACTGAGAGATCAGTCACCCGACCAAAGATCTGCAGGACTACAGGTTAAACCTGCTGTAGGTCATGGCATATTGCTCATTTTCGACAATGCACAGACATCTCCATGTAATAAATTCACAAGTTCTGCAAAGATCTAGGACACTGAAGAAGTCCTGGCTTGTCACATTCTCTTGTGAAATGCCACCTGGGAGATTTCCGAAAAAATAAACAAAAAATTCTGTTGCAAGCCAGTGAGAAGTGTTCTGTGATTCATTGCTAACATAAGGAGGATGCATTCTGCAGTCCTTCTGGACTTCCCTTCTGGTACGAAAAATGGATTCAGCTCAGATTTCATTAAGGTCTGTTATTTTAACAGGAACACTGGAAAATTTGTTAAAAAATTCGCGAATGCAGCTGTAACAATACAAGAAGGTAATTCTCTCTGCCCCTTAGTCTTCCTCCTCATAAGTGTCTGGGTAATTAAATAAAAAGTTAACACAGAACTTCTGTTCCAAGACAGAATGTCTTTTTCACTGCAACATAATACAAACACACCTTATCTCATCTCTAAAGGCAGAGTCAATATCTCATTCCAAGGTACAGTGTTGTGCGTAATGAAAAGAACTAGCCTCAAAATATGCATACTTTTAAAGACAGCTGCAAGGACATCACTTCAAAAAAACTACAAAACTGCATACAAACTACAGGGGTCTTTTACCCATTTTCATGAAACATCATTAACAAAAAAAAAAAAAAGTTTCTCAGCTTCAGCTACCACTGTTCCATTTACTAGGTAGGGCAACAGGTAAAAACTGTTATACTGAAATGAGCTTAAAAGTCAAATATTATAAATCTTGAGGTGATTTTACAATAGATGACTCTCTTACAATACCTAACTGGAAAAAAAATATACATATTATTACTATGCTATATTAACTACACTGTGTTACTGCCTTATTTGAAAAATAACTTTAGTTTGTATTCAGAATCATAAAAAATAAAAACTAATTGAAGACATTCACATAAATGAGTGTCTATATTAACTTTTCCTACCTTTAAAGATTTAAGGAAGTTATAGAAAAATCTAATCCGTACAGGCAGTATCTTACAAGCTAGCAGGTTTGCAACTATAGAAGAACAACAGTTTTTTTTCGTGGTTTGAAAAGCCAAGTGGTGCTTCTGAAGTTTAAGTAGGGACAGATTTTAACATATAAACCCAGCTTCATTTTTGTACTAGAAAACATACCATTCTGACATGAGGTGACAGCAACAGTGACAACCAATTTGGTACAGAACGTGATTTAACCATCAGTGTAGTCAAGCATAGTCAGAAATATACTACATTAAATACTGCTGAAGTCTTAATCATACATGTGTTAAATAACTAAGATCTACTAATAATATGAGAAAAGTCATAAGTATAAGAGCAACAGCAAAATAGTTAAAAAGCATGGATGTCTACATTATTTTAAGTGCATGTACACTTAGCTAAACAAGATTACTGAAGCATTATTTATTTTCCATTTCATCTCATGTTCCTCAAAAGTATATGTATTCATTTCCTTCTCCTTCCCAGTGCAACTAGGTCAAGGCATAATTCCAGTGGGCCTGATAATCAGCCCACTCCTTGTCCGATCATCTTTCAGTCTGTCTTCAACTCACACCCTGCAGTACTGTAAGAATAACAAGTATTTATAACCATTCAAGAGTTTATGCCCCCAAGGAGAGTCAAACATTGCGGAATAACAGATCGTTTCAGAGGCGCCTCATACTGCCAAAACCTGAAAGCCATTTACCAATGGCAGTCATTCAGCTGACAAAGTAGTAAAACAACTAAGAACTGAAAACCGTGTGATAAAATTTTGAATAGGCAATAGAAAGCAAGAAAATAAAACTATGAAAATAAAGAATACTTTTACAAAAAGGTTTATCCTTTTCAGAGAGGAATAAGCATGGAAGAAGAGGGGGGATGAGTTTCCAGTCACAGTCAAAACTTCCCTTTAAATAAGCTAATGTTATGAAAATTAGCATAGTTAAGACTCTTTCAATTCAGTGATAGCCAGGAATCACCGGACTGTGCACTCTAGAACTGCTTAGAACAGTATTTTTGAAATATACAATATGCTTATCCAAGAAGCAGACCTAAAGACACTAATTTTCTCAATTTGGTTAGCATTATCACAAAGTAACACTGTAAAAGCTAGGCTATCAACACAGTATAAGCAGCTGGTCAAAAGAGGTGATTATCCCACTGCATTTAGCACTGGTGTGGCCTCACCTTGAGTTCTGTGTGCCTAATTTCAGAAGGATGTGAAGGTCGAATACATCCAGAGGAGGGAAACAAAGCTGAAGGGGCTGGAAAGCATGTCCTGTGAGGAGCAGCTAAGGACTTTGGTCTTGTCTAGTCTGGAGAAGGAGGCTGAGGGGGAACCTTGCTGCTCTCTACAGCTTCCGGAGGAGAGGAAGCACAGAGAGATGTGCTGAGCTCTTCTCCCTGGGATCCAGTGACAAGGCGCATGGGAATGGCTCAAAGCTGCACCAGGGGAGGTTTAGACTGGACATTAGAAAGCATTTCTTTACCAAGAGGGTGGTTAAACACTGGAACAGGCTTCCTGGATAGGTGGCCAATGTCCCAAGCACGTCAGTGTTTAAGACACATTTGGAAAATGCCCTTAACAACACGCTTTAGCTTTTGGTCAGCCCTGAATTGGTCAGGCAGTTGGACTAGGCAATTGTTATAGGTCCTTTCCAGATGAAATATTCTATTCTAAACCATATGACATCTGTTTTAATATTTCACAACTTATCCATAAATGAAATCACAGTCCAGGAGAACCATGAAGTTAAACAGCAGAACAGAAATATCCCCAAAATGCTATAGGAAATAACGATGCCTCTCGTAATTTGAGCAATTTTTCTCAATTACAACCAAAGTAAGTTACTTTGTGTTTTGGTAGTTAGCAATGAGCTTTTATTTTGGTGAAAGACTTGTAAGTAGTTAAGGAAAAAAAGATTAAGTGTTGACTAGTAAGTAAACGACTTTGATCATTTAAAAAAAAAGAAAACAGTCAACAGTGCCAAAACACCTCTAAGCTAGCAAGTGAGATGCAGAGTTCACGCTCAGCATTTGGAAAAGCACAACTCACCGAAGCACGCTGTTCCAAAACTGTTACGGTGTTCCCAAAGATTAGGGCTGACTACAAGACGCCAATACCTTGGCTCGACCCTCGCGTGCGTATTTACCCTACTTTAATTCCACTTCTACCACACACACACACACACCCCTCCTTCTTCGCCGAGAGGGAGCACAGCGTCGCTAAAAACAACAGAACTACGGGCAGGCGCCTGGCCTCCTGCCGCCGACAGCCGGCCGAGGCGGGCCGCGGGGCAGGGCAGCCCGGCGAGGCGGAGGCGGGCAGGCCGCCGCCGGGCCCCGCCGCCCCCCAGGGCCCCGCGGGGGGGCTGGCGGCTCGTCCCGGGGTGCGCGGGGCCACCAAAAGGGACCGAGAGCTGCGACCGGCCCCCAGCTCACCCCGCTTCCCCGGGACGCCGCGACCGACTCCCAGGACGTAGCTCTGAGAGAGAGGGGGGCGCTTCAAACGCAGGAGAAACACCACCACCCCCCCCCGGAGCCCCACACCGCAGCTCGGCACTCGCCGGGCGGCGGCGGCGGCAGCCAAGGCCGCGGGCGCAGCCGAGGTCGCCCCCACTTACCAGCCCGCCTCGCAGAGCGCCGCCCGCGCCCTGTCGGCCATGGCGCCTCCTGCCGCCGCTCACCCACGGACCCGCGGGGGCCGCCGGGCGCTGCGGTGTGGAGGAGGGACGCGGGGCCCGGTGGTTCCCCCGCCCCTCGGCCCTCTCCGGGCGCTCGGCCCAGCCAGCTCTCCGGCGGGAGAGTGAGGGAGGGGAAGGAGGAAGGGGCGGAGGCGGCGCAGGCAGAGACGAACAAAGCCCGCGACCGGCGGCGGCGGTGGGGGGGGGCGGTGAGGGCGCTTTGCCGCCTGACTGGAAGCCGCTGCCGCCATGTCGGAGAAGGGAAGGAGTGAGGGCAGAGGAGGAGGAGGCGGCGGAGCGCGGCCGCGGGGATCCCTCAGGACTCGGCTCCGGGAGCGTTGGTGGGGGCCAGCAGCCTGCCCCCGTGTAATAGCAGGAAGCCTTCCTCTTCAGCGCATTTAATCCACAAATAACATTTTTGCTAATAACACGGGATAAGAAAAGAGTCTCCTCCGTGCCCTCAGCGTGGTTATTTTGGACGAGGAGGCCTTTAGAGTGAGAAGCTGTAAAAGGCTGTTCCTGTGTTTCTTTAATGCCTTTTGTGTCAGTTTTGTTTATTTGAATGCTTTGCCCTAAGATGCTGGGCACTGACATGAACATTCATTTGCATGATCTGCCTTTTTATTGGGAATTATATTTTAAAAGAATAACGTTATTTCGTTACTGCTGTTGTAAGTGCCGGGTTACCTCAGGAGCCAGTAACAGGCGGGGTGGGAGTGCTGGCCTGCTCTGGGTGCCAGCCCTGCCAGGGCGGGGAACCTGAGCGGGTCAGAAGTTAAGAAAATGCCCACCCAAGCCTTGGCACTCAGGGTTTCTGCCAATGATCCTCATTAGTGAGTCACATCCAGCTATTTCTCTAACCCATCAGTGCCAAACAATTACTTTTTTTACTGTACTGACATTTCAAAACTTAGCTACCAGCTATGTTTGTCTATTAAAGATGCACATTTCTTCATGGGTAATTCTCATTCTTGGGATGTTTCAGTTTTTGTGCAGCATCTTCAAGTCAAAGGTCGCTGGTTTTCTTTTTTTTGATCCACTCGAAAACCTCTCTTTGCTATACTGAGTAGAAATCAGGAGTTTTACAAGCAATAAGCTGTGATTTCTGCTGTGCTGGTCAACACTACTGGCTTTTTCTTTCTTTACTATGTGCTACTCATTCATTGTATTCTTTTGTATCTATAGATTATATACACCAGGACAAAGGGTTTGTCACCAGTGCCTATGGTGTCCTGCATGGCTGCTGTTTTTCAAGAACGTACATATCTTTTTTTTAAATCAATAGCTATAACAAACTTGACACAGAAGAAGGAAACAAAAACCTATATTGTTGAGATTAATCTGAGCGATGTCTAACATTACACATACCCTTGAAGGTTTTCTGATCTGGAGTCTTAACAGAAACAATGCAGTCTACACTAAAATAATAAATCTCCACTTAGAAGACTGACATATGCAATCTCTCAGGAAAATTCTCAAAGCAATGAGTATTGCACATGGGGAAGTTTTAATCCTCATGCTGATCATTTAAAAAAAAAATATATCAGAAAGAGCATTATTGATTGGGAAAGTGTAACAACACATTTTTGATGCAGGCTCATAGAGAGCAGTCACCAGAGCCACCTACACAGAGTTCAGTAAACTGAGCCAACCCAGCCAGCTGCATAGTTCATGGACTGAAGAACCATATCGCTTGTTTGAATTTTCAAAGGTTGTGCTGTCCTGATCACGACAAGACTCCTGGTGAATATGAGCTTCCAAAGGATAACTAAGATAAGGACCCTGAAATAGACCTACTTTATGTCTGTACCAAAGAAACCCTTAAATTAGTGCTGAGGAGTACCCTAAAGTTAAACAGAAGAGACATGCTGAAATGTTAGTGGCCAAGCCACACACCCTTGTTGCACGCATAACAACCATAGCAGCTGCTGACATGGAAAAGCACTAGCAGGTAGGTGAAAGTGTAGTGCCAGTTCAGACACTTACTATACAAAAGAAATGGAATACAAGCACCTTGCATTTGGAGTCTGACCTGGCTGCGCATTAGGTTATCAAGAAAAGGTTGTAAACATTATTGGAACTCGAAAAGGGGTGCCTGTAGAACCAATTAGTAAAGGATGGAGTATGACCTAGGAGAATATAATGAGAATTACAGACTTTATGCATTACTTTATGTTAGTTTAAGACATAGAACCTTTTGCTTACTTAAATCTTCATTGAAATCATCAGACAATTATACCAGCAATTTACGCCAGCATATGGCTAGCTGTTGGACCTCATGGCACAAAGCACCATCTATAAATAAAATGAAGTACTCAGCGCTGTCCTTCTAAAAGGTCTGCAGGCATCTGTTCTAACAAATCACATGCAAGCTGAGATAGAGAGATAGATAGGTAGATAGATAGATACATACATACATACATACATACATACATACACACATACATACATGTCCTTTTGTACGTGAGAAGTCCCCATTAGTACATGTTTCTCTGCTCACAGAGGGCACTGCCCAGTCTTTGCTGTTTCTAGCTGCTGTTAGCTGTGCTGCAGTGAGGTAAATAATTAGCTCCACTATAAAACAGAAGGTGATACAATGCCTGCCAGGCAGTCAGAAAACCACAAATTGGAGGGATAAGACCCTCTGTACCAACTGTTCATGGTAAAACATTCTTAGAGCATATCTCCATATCCATCACCTTTAGAATAAATGACATTGCTGAAGCTAATGAGGGTCAGAGTACCTGGGGCTATACAGGGACCCTGCCTAGACTCCAGCACACCTGTAAGGGGCTCTGTGCCTCCATAGCTTTCTCTGAAAAATACATGTTACTAAAGATGAATTGGTGCATCACTGTTCACAAAATTCACGTGGACGCTTTCTGTCCAAACCATAATCTAGTTTGATATACTTCACTGAAGTTGAAAGCCTCGTTCCAATTTCTCTTTCCAAGCGTCTGTTTCAAAGTGTTAGCCACAGAAAAATGTGAGGTTAAAAAACAAGGTCTGTGAGGAATAACACTGCTAAGTTTCATATGTAGCTTCAGGATAATTTGTGATACAAAACAACTTTTTGCAGTACTTTTGAAAGATGTCAATACTGGCTAAAAAAAAATTGTAATTTTTAGTCATTGCGGTGGTGTGCACAAATGCACCTCCATGCATGACTTGTTAACAGTCCTATTTAAAAATGCTATGTGTGTAAATCAGCTATGTTAAATTTTAAGAAATGCTTCAACCAGGCATTCTACAAAGGACATGGGGAAGTGTCACGGAGCAGCGAGGACTGGCTGCATCTCAAGGAGAGGCAAGCCAGGAGTGCGGCGCAGACCACACAGCAGGCAGGAGCAGTAACCTCACCGTAAGGAGCCAGGATTTGGAGTGGCAAGTCCAGGTTAAGATGAGGCCCAGGGATGGTGGCCAGGGTCAGACATGAACACCAGCACAACCACCGGGATGAGGCAGGTCCGAGCGCAGCCAGGCAGCCAGGTGTGGGTCCAGGTCAGGACGGAGGAGGCACGTGCCCGAGCCCAGACATAGCTGTGGCACGGCTGCGATATAGCCCAGGCAGGGGCTGGTGGTGTGGCCACTGCTTAAATGTAACTCCCATGGGAAAGGAGAGGCAGGGCCTCACTTCTACCTTCTTTACAATAGCTCCCACTGGCAACAAAACTGACTATGAACTCAGACAGCTAAAATTCATTGACTCAGCTAACTCATCTAGAAGGGGGCTGTGCTGCAGGCCCTGAGAATAAGACAGTTCTGCTGCTATATTAATGTGTGAACAGGTCTGATGCGTGACATACTCGCTTATCCACCATTTGTTTCTGAAGACAGGTTTCTCAGTGTTTTAAGCAGGAACAGGCTTAATTAACAGTATTCTGCATCATCCAAAACTAAAGCATGAGACTTAGCAGCTTACTCTGGTACATCTATTACAAAGGATTTCAGCTTTCAAGGAAAACTGAAGAATTATCTGTATTGATCTTCTTCAAAGAAATAAAATGTATGTAGTACTTTATATCTTCAAAGTGCTATGCATAAAGCTATTTACATTTTAATAAGGTCTTCTTAAATCAATATGATTGTTTCATTAAGTTTTAGATCTATTAAATTTGCCTTTTAGATATTATATAAGTTCAAGGTATGACATGGCTGTTTAAAAAGGTAGAGGGGGTAAATGGGGAAAAATTACTTAATATGCCATCTTAAGCATGCTAACTGCAAGTATACAACAATGTCCAGTAATGTAACTTAAGACCAAAGTAGGTAGTAAGGACCCCTCATCTGTGCTGTGCTCTGCTTCTAAGCCATATTTAATTATGCAGTACAACTTGTTTTTCTATTACATTCAGATTATTAACCAATAAAGTTTAAAGTATTACTATTTAATGCTGTATGACTATCACTTTGTATATCCTGTGTTTATCTGCCTTATTTATTAGAAATGCAAGAGGCTAAGAGCAGAAATTGAATTTAGGCAGCAACTGGTTCCTGTTGTTTATTTTAGCAAAGAATAACTAGACCCTGTGATTTCTTCACAAAATCCACCATGTCATCCAGTGACTGAGGGAGGAAGCCCTTCCTCTGGAATACCAGGTAATGATAGGCATGTAAAGATGTGCCTAAAACGCAGTTCTTGACCGCTGCCCATGTGGCCTGGGACAACTGAATCTATGACAAAGAGGTAATTTCCACAATGCTCTGTAATTGTATGTACCTAAAATGTTTGATCTACTTGAGCACCGTGGTTAGGGCACCAGCGAGGCAGAGAACAGAAAGAACTAATGCACAGGGCAGGACAGCCAAAGCCAGTTTTTGCAACAGCCCTACAGGTTATCACCCTGTGGCTTGATTCATCCTTGTTGCCTTGATCACCTACCAACTCCAGCTCCGATCATCTTGGCTCAGCAGAGGGCTCACAGGACTGGGGAGTTGAAACTTGACTGCACCTGCCAGAAATGGGCAAGAGCAGAAACCCATAACGCTCATTATGAGTTATGGCATCATGCACCCCAACCTGGTGTGCTGAAACCAACAGCAGCAGGATGGAGACCCTGAACACCAGGTTCAGTGGGAGGTCCCCACAAAGGACAACAATGCTGCTTTGGTCTTAATTTTTATTTCATCTTCTGTAGAATACGCTTTTTT